TCTGACAGACAAGCAATTTGTGGAGCAGTGAAAGATAAATCCCTTATTGTGGAGTTAAGCATTAGTTACAGTGTCGACCCCACCCTTAGCCCAGTGCCTTGACCCACTTACTTTCCAGGAGCTGGAAAGTAAGTGGTCCTGGTGGTGAATTAGGGTACACAGTAATTTTTATTTCATTCCCTGTCCCCCAGACATATCTATCTAACACAAATATTCTGAAAACGTATACCATCTCTGATGAAAGACTACATGATAGAAAAGAAATAAAAAGGAATAACAAGTTATCACACAAACGTAGACATAATTTAAAACTTTAAATTTTAACTTTAAATTTTAAAAATTTAAATTTAAAAATTTAAATTTTACATTTTAAACTTTAAATTTTAAACTTTTAAATTTTTTGTGATGTTGGGCAATTATCTTGTTTGAGCTTATGTGTTGTTTTTTAATTGTGATTTTTAACAAGAGTTTCCAGAAAGGTTGGGTTTTCATTCATTCACTGATGTGCATTTTCTTCCTTCTCTCCTCTTTCCCCCTCTCCCAGTTCACCCTGCAGTGCACTCCTTTTCCATATTTTTAATTGTCTTACGTATAATGCATAATCGTAACAACAGTAGCTATTCCATAGAGTAGTCATACAGTTCTTGGGATAATCCTTGACCATTTGACACAAAGTCTACTCTACGATACATACTCAGAAATGGTAGCTTCCTTTTCTTTATGCTGTGTTGCAGGGCTGGGGCTTAGTCTATGGTCACTTTGGAAACAATCTCGTGAAACAATTTCTATGGTCACTTTGGAAACAATCTCGTGAAACAATTTCTCAAGAATGATGAGACCAGTGAGGGTTCTGAGCACCTTGCAGCCTCTTACCTGATGATGGTCAGAGGGATGAAGTACACCAGGAAGGCCACAATAGTCATGTACGGTGTCCAGTAGGAGTCATCTGGCCATAGGGCCCAGCATTGCTCTTCTCCATTGGAGAGTTTCCGTTTTCCAAATATGATCAGTGTAGGAATGGAGAACAGGAAGGACAGGGTCCAGGCAATCATTATGAGGACCTTGGCTTGCTTTTCTGCTCAAAGAAAAAGAGAGAGAGGGATGTCTAGACTTCTAGAAACATATTGGGGAGCACACCTGGAACCTAGTGTGAAAGTCACCCTGGGCCATCATTGATTCTCACAACTCTTAGAGATTCAGTTTGTCATGTGTGAAATGGGGGCAATAGTACCTGCCACAGAGGCCTGACGTAGGACCAGAGAGAGAAAACTTTCAGAGTAGCTAGCACTCGGCCTGGCATGAAATTGCTGCTGCCAATTTTTCACTTTCTGATTTACAGACCTGATTATTGCAATTCCAATGCAGCTAGTTCTCTAGTGTTAGGAAGCTCAATTTGTGGCATCCATAAATGGTAGGTTGCTTTGCAAATACAAAGTTGTATCCCCCAACGTGTGCTCAGTGCCTGTGATTTCACTGACTCTGGACACATGTGGCAGGCCCATCCAATCTTTCCCCATTGCATTCAGTGCTACAATGCACTGAACAATATTTGAGAGTTGCTGCCATGTGGAGGAAGTTCTGGTGGCTCAGTTCATAGAGTTGTGCTATTAGCCCAAATACAGCACCTCTCTAGTGGTTCATATCCATTCGTGGCTCTGCGGGAAAAAGATTGGTGATATCCTCCTGTGTGATTTATACCCTCTAAAACCTCATTGGAACATGAGCTAGTAGTCATTTTTGACTCAAAGGAAATGATTCTGTTTTGGGCTTTGAGCCAAGTGTTAAGGAGGATCAAAATTACCCTCTTTTCCTTGTCTGACTAGAATTGTGAGACACAGAAGGAAGACTTAATTCTGTTCTGGTAAATCAGGGGTTTAACCCATCCTTGGCTTGAAAATGAACAATGAGGTTTGGGGTCAGGCAGGAAGCACTGAGCTGACAGGGAAGGAAAGAATGGCTGACATAATTAGTAAAGTTGTTCTGATGGCAAGGGTAGAGTTTTGGAGGCTTTGCAACACTAATAATTGCTCATGCATGGTCTTGTAATTTCACTGGATTGAAAAGCCAAACCCAAACAAAAACAAGCAGTGAGTTGTTGCCGAGTCAGCATATGTTCATGATGACTCCATGTGTGAGAGTAGAACTGTGCTCCACGCTGTTGTCAGTGACTGATTTTTTCTTTTGTTTTTTAAATTGGTTTGTGTTCAATGATTCATATACCTTGTGTTTCATTCACATATATTGTGTTTTTCAATTTTCTGAAGGTAGATACCCAGTTCTTCCAGCACCATTTTTTGAAGAGGTTTAGTGTCTGGTTTTTCATAAGCAGAGCACCAGGACCTTTTTCTGAGGTTGCTCTGGGTGGGTTTGACCCTCTAGCCTTTAGGTTAGCTTCCCAGAATGCCAACCATTTACACCACTCCCTCTAGTTACATGTGTAAGTCCTAGAACCTTGACTTTTGTGGAAATCTGTGATGTCTGGAGCCCATTAAAGTTCTACTTAATGAAGAAACAATACAATCACTTTTAAGTGAATTGGGCATGAAATGATTTAAGTTAAAGGAAGAAGGAAACTATGATTTAAAATCAACCCTACCAAACCCACTAAACCACTGCCACTGAGTCAATTCTGACTGACGGTGATCCTCTATCAGCTTTCCAAAGCTATAAATCTTTATGAGAGGAGACTCCCCATCTTACTCCCTCAGCAGAGAAACTCATAGATTTATACCGTTGATCTTTTCTGTAGCAGTCTGGCATCTTATGCACTGTATCACCAGTGCCCTTTAAACTCCACCAAGGGATGTAAAGATATTTTCCCAATGTTGAATCAGGATATAGGCTTGTTTTCCTGTAAGGTGGTTCTGGGCAGTCCTGGAAAGTTTTCTTTGTCTTCAGAGGAAGCTAAGAATTGAGAGGATGACCATGAATAGCTGGGTGTGCAGCCTGCAAACACACCAAGGCAGAGAAACTGCTGATATTCCAAGGAAACGGAATTTATCTTGAATAAATAATTAGTGTTCAGGGACTGAACTGAAGAAATGCAGCATAGAGAATAGGGAGAGCTGTCTCCATGTCCTTCAAAATGGCTATTACTGGCCTCCAGTCAGAAATCCCAGTTGAAAGTTAGGTGTAAACTGTTTGGTTGTTTTTTTATTTCATTCACAATCATGTGTGAGCTGATTGGTCACCTGGGTTTATTGGATTTACCTAGCAATCATATGTGGGCTGGAAGCCTCTTGTTGAAGTCAATCAGGACCTGGTCAGTGGGACTTTGTATTTAAAAGTTGGTTGGGGCCTTGGGTCTGGTCTTAATTGTGTTTGGGAAGATCATTTTTCTAAGTGGTCTGTTAGTTTGCTGTACTGAGATAACTTGGCATTGCTGTGAACACTGTATCATAATGGTTACCCACGGTGGTTAGTGTTTGATGGAGCTCCCAGATTAAGACAGGTTTAGAGCAATATTGGCATCTACTTCCTAAACAACGTGCATTTGGAAACTCAATGAACATTAGAGAAATGACGATAATTATAGAACAGAGTTCAAATCTTTTATTCATAGCGTTGCTATGAGTTGTACTCAACCTGATAGGACTTAACAACAACAACAACAACATAGCTATTCTAATTCTGGAGTCTTTGGGTGGTCCAAGAGGTTAATGCACTTAGTTACAGATAGAAATAACAGGTTTTAATTCTATCCAGTCACCTACTTTGGTTGTTGCCAGGAGGGACCAGTCCTTAGAGAAGGACATCATGCTTGAAAGGGTAGAGGAACAGCACAAGAAAAGAAGAACCTGAATGAGATGGATTTGACTCAGTGACTGGGGTAAAGGGGGTCAATGTGTCAGACACAGTGACATTGACTCAAGCAAAAGCACGGTTCAGAACTAGGTATATGGGTTTCCTGTAAGTCACAAGTGACGTGATGGCACATCACACTGAGACATATTTGTTATTTTGCCAGTCCTTGGGATGTTCAGTGCTCTTCTCCAACATCAGAGCTTGAAGGCATCATTCTTCTCCTGTCATCTTAATTCATTGTCCAACTCTCAGATGCATAGCAAATGATGGGAAAGACCATGGCCATAGTCCTTAGTCCTCAAATTGGCATCACTATTCTTCAATAATTTCGACAGGTCTTTTTAATATATAAGTAATTTTTATTGTGAGTTCAAAGAAAGTTTACAGAAAACATGGGATTTCCATTCATTCATTGTTACACATTTTCCTTCCTACTGCCCCACCCCTGTTCACTTTTCTCTTAAAAATTTTATTCATTGTTGCACAATTTCCTTCCTCCTCCCACCCTAGTCCACTTGATATGCACCTCTTATTCTGGACTGTTGTCATGCAAATAATACCTAATCATATATTCCCTTTTAAACAGTTAACTCTTTCCTTCATCTGTTCCATTGCAGTGTTTATTATTTATCCTCTCTTTTCTTAGTTTCTTTCTAACACCCATGTCAGTCTCATTTAATAGCAGTGGCATTATGAAGTATTTATCTTTTTGTGACTGAGAAATTTTACTCAGTGTAATATCCTCCGTGGTTAATATTTTACGAATTCCTTGTTTTTAAGCACTGCGTAGTATTCCATTACATGAATATACCACAGCTTCTCTATCCATTCATTTGTTGATGAGCACTTGGGTTGTTTCTATCTCTTTGCTATTGTGTACAATGCAGCAAAAAACACGGTTGTGCATATATCTGTTTGCGTAGCAGCTCTGGTTTCTTTAGGGTTTATTCCCGGTAGTAGAATTTCTGGGTCAAATGGTATTTCTATTTCCAACTTTTCGATAAGTGTCATACTGCCTTCCATAGTGGTTGCACCATTTTACACTCCCACGGACAATGGATAAAGGTTCTAATTTCTTCACAACACAGTGCAATGTATCTCCTGATTTCCTGACTGTGGATATTAAGGGTATTAATTGTGGATCCAAGTAAGACGAAATTGTTGACAGTTTCAATCTTTTCTCCATCTATCATGATGTTATCTATCAGTCCAATGGTAAGAATCTTTATCTTCTTGGCATTGAGATGTAATCCATATTGTGGAAAGATCTGGAAATATATTCAAGAAAAATTAGCCCTTGAAAATCCTATAGAGTAGTTTTACTGTGAACATGAGGAATCACCAGGAGTCAAAATGGTTCCAGTAGCAACAAGAAGAAAGCAATCCATTATAATATTAGTTTAAACTCCAACGTGTTCTGTTTTATTACCTGCCACTGTAGTTCTCACTTCATAACTAGTCAACATTTTCCTGTTTGCTGCCACATCTCTATCTCACCTCCAACCATAAAATTGCCAACTTTCTAAATGTTGTTAGCGTTTTTGATGAAGGGAATAACCACTTAAAAAAAGAACACCAAAACCAACTAACCAAAAACCTAATAAATAATTAAGACCAAAAAGTGGTAAAAATAAAATGATGGCTCCCTTTCCCTTCTCCTCTTGGTTGATTGCCATCGTCTTTGCTTGTGCAATCACATTAATCTCACCTGTCTTCTACCTGTTCTGAGATATTATTCTTTCTTATACTTTTCCCTCTCTTTTAGTACATATGTCTGTTTTACTCTTTAAATCAGTATGTATTGCATTTTCTTCTGTTCTTGTTCTCTGCACATCTAGGATTATTTTTACTTTTTCCCTTTCATTAATGTCATCATACGGCATAGATTATTATACATATTATTTTCCTGTCCACACATATTCATGTCTTTGGATCTACTACCTTCACATTGAGAAGGATGTATAAAATTGAAAGCAGCTGCATTAGATCACAAATGACTTCAAATCTTGGGTTTGTATTTAATAATTGTGTGACTAGTTATTTAACTCTTTAGATTAGAATTGTGTTGCTTGTAAGTTGTAAATTGTCTTAGAATCGAAATTACACAGTTATTGTAAAGTTATTACTTTCCCATTGTCATTCTGACTCATAACCCTCTAAGACAAAGTAGGACCACCCAATAGAGATTTGCCTAGAGGTAAGAATCTGTGCTGCAATCTTGAGGCACGTGGTTTGAATGCACTATCTGCCCTGTGGGAGAAGGATGTGCAG